TAAATATTTATAGACATTAGATTACATAATTCATTTACTTCTTGCTTTCTAAAAATAATTTATTGCATGAATAATAAACTCTAAATTATTATAGAATTAATAAAAATATTAAAATATAATATGCACCATATATGTGTGTGTGTATGTGGTGCATATTATTCTAAAAATAAAAATCCCATACATACTAGTATACTACTATTGTAATATTAAGAAAAATTCTCATGAGTCATGACTCACGAACACTCTCCTTGGTTGACAAAAATTACAATTCAATAACCGATTCATGGGTTAAACAATGTAGAAGTTATTGAAAATGTATTGGTTGATGTCTTTGTCATCGTCTAAACGTAGAATGTAATAGATTTAAATGTCGTTCGGGATGTAGGTGCATGCATGTATTAATGTCATTTTTTGAATAAAAATAGCCGCATAGCCCTACAGTAGCGAAAAAATTTCGCCCCGCTATACTAGGGAAAAAAAATTCACCCCGCTACACTAACAAAAAAAAATTCACCCCCTACACTAACGAAAAATTTCGCCCCCCTTGACTCAGAATCCTGGATCCGTCCCTGGTTATGAGAGTGGATGATGCGGTGTGAGATGGAAATTGAACTGCCCGAAGTGCCCTATTTATACTACATTAGAGGCAAACATTACTGCAGTCTCCAGCGGGCATTAACCCTGATAACTAATGGACAAAAATCCATCAATCGATTTTTATTTGAAATCAGATCTCATTGCTGCTTCCATTAATGCCGATGTACTTTAAAGATCTTAATATATATATTTTTGTACTTTAAAGATCTTAATATATATATATATATATATATATATATATATATATATATATAGAGTGCTCTTCTCATCAGGCCGGCCTGACGGGATGCTCCGTCCGGCCGAGCCCATTTGGGCACCTTCCCGCTGGAATTTTTTGATGAAATTTTTTGAGCATGTTCCCCATCAAGTCTAGTTTGTCCATACCAAATTTCAGCTCAAAATTCGATCGGGAAGGCATTCAAATCATTTTTTGAAGTTGACTGCGTCAAAATATACATATAAAACTGCAGTCAACTTCAAAAAATGATTTGAATGTCTTCCCGATCGAATTTTGAGCTGAAATTTGGTATGGACAAACTAGACTTGATGAGGAACATGCTCAAAAAATTTCATCAAAAAAATCCACCGGGAAGGTGCCCAAACGGGCTCGGCCGGACGGGGCAGCCCGTCAGGCCGGCCTGACATGAACATTCCTCTATATATATATATATATATATATATATATATATATTGTTTGGCTCAAGAAGAAATGAAAGTACACAACATTTAATGCAAATCCCTTTCTCAAGAACCACCCTTTGGGTGAGGGGTTTATGTTGTTGGACAATTTGGAAAGCAAGGAGTTGGTCCTTCAGAGTTCATCTCATTGTTTTCCGTTCTATGTCGCATCTCATTGTAGCCTTAGACTATTCATCATATGCTTGTATCTTTGTTATCATTTAATGAATAAATTAGTTAGTTGATTTAAAAAAAAACACTCTCTTCTTAAATTGGTACAAAGCTATAATCTACATAGTTTTTGCCTTTTTCTTGCAGACTTGTTTGCGCACGTACAAGTTATTCATTGTTTGGAGGATAAAAACAAAAAACGAAACATACTCCGTAATATAATATTTTTATTTTTTTAACTAGTAAACTCACCCGTGCGATGCACGGTCGGAGAATTTTTCTTCAAATTTATTTGTGCTCACTAATACATAACTGTACTACATACAGTTGGTGAATTTTCCTAAAAAATGTACATAACTACATAATACATACCATTGAAAGAGTCTCACGTTAGAGGATTTGCGTTGAACACTCGTGCAATACACGGTTGATGAAATTTCATAGGTGTAGTTAATTTTAATCAAATTTAACTTGAATAAAAATAAACTTGTAATTTTAATTGAGTTGTCTGGAGTTATATATGCTATATAAAGTTTTTATAGTAGGTATCACACATTATAAATATAATTTGAAAATACATTGCATTTCATGCTAAATGATTTGAAACACTTTTCATACACAACATTCTCAGATTCAGTGTTCGTTCCCATGTCCTTATTTGGAATTTGAGTTTTTTACGCTCGTTAATTGGTTACTATTGATCCAACCACATAAAATTGAATATGACTAAAAAAGCATTTTCAACAAAAAACCAATGCACAACAATGACCGCTAACATGTGAATGAATGCTTAAAATTAACATCTTTTATCTCACACTAACCTATTAAATGATATTGACAAAGAACTTTTCCAATTTCAAAGGTTTATATATATTATTGAAGGTAAACTATTTATAATGATTAAGTAATAAAGTGACTATAAATTTTCACGAATTGCTTTTTAGATGAATTGTCTCTCTAAATAGGTAAAATAAAGGAGTGCACATATGTGAAAATGTGTTATGCCATTCTTAAACTATTCTTGAATCTAAATTTGTGAGAAAATAGGTGCTTATATTATTTCTAATATCAAAGTACGATCTAGTCTGATTTGGTTTAAGACTAAAATATATAAATCATCCAAGTAAAAACATCCGAAGTAATAGGGTGACTATGCATTTATATGAATTGCATTGTTTACACGAATTGCCCATGTAAATGGCAAATCAGGGGGTGTGCAAATATGTGAAAGGGTGTTATGTCATTATTAAACCATACTTGAATATTATGAAAATGCTAGTTGAGTTTGTACACGAAAAAGTAATGGAAGAAGTTAGCAGGAACAGTGTGCCCCTTTAAAAGTACTTCGTACAATCATTCTTCCCAAACCTACGCATCATCTACTTCAGTCCATGAAAATTGTATTTTTTGGGATTTCTTTTTCTTTATACCATTTCTCTTGATGTTGACACTTTTGAGTGGCAACTTCCTCACTGAGAATTCTTTTATACTACCTCCGTCCCTTTTATATTGGTACGAAGGAGGGAGGCACGATTATTAAAAAAAGTGAGGTTGTGTGGTTGATATTAATTGATAAAGCAAGAATAAAGTAAGAATGATTTAGAGCCACACAAACTTTACCAAATATGGTATGAGACAATATTAGTGGGACTTTGCAAAAAGGTAAAACGGGATAATATAACGGGGACGGAGGGAGTATTAGAATAGAAGATATATCAGATTAGAGGGTGTGCAAATATATGAGAGTGGGTATTTCAATAAAAAATTAAAAAATACTAATTAAGACCTACAAATAATTTCAATCTCGAGCTTAATTATTACGGAGTAATAAAAATATCTGCATATAACTACATAAGTATACTGTATGATTTTACGGGGCATGCTCAATTTTAGACAAATCAACAAAGAATGGTTGATCAAATGATCAACCATAATTTTAGCTTGATTTTATTGAATCGGCCCATCAACATTCAGCCCAATTTTCACACAGATACGTGTCTTTACTCACAGGCAACAAATGGTCAACCATTGAACTTCCATCTGCCAACAATCGATTAAAATGCCTCAAACCTTTTTTTTTCTCCACAAATTCTAAGTTCTACCTCTGCCTATTAGATCTACCTCTTTAATCCTAATGACGTTGGACGGTACCTAATAGATCGTGGTTAAATCGGTAAAAAATCAGACAAAACAAAACGTGAAGAATTGAAAACACCTGTCCGGAGGTTGTTTATTGGGTAAATATGGACATTCATATTCATTTGTACATACTTTGAAATCGAGTTCAGTGTTTAAAAAAATTTCAATTTAAAGTAAATCTTTTATAATAACATTGTCAATGGACATAGTAAATTTCATTTTTACATAACGATTCATTATGTATACATATATATTTCGTTTTTGCGCTTCGGCAATAAATAATACGGAGTATTTATTAGCGGACAGTAATTCGAATTACATTATGAATTGTATGAACAGCTATAGCAGTGCAATATTGATATATTAAAAAACAATAAACAAAACTTATAATATTATTGTGACCAACGGAGTAGTAAGAGTTACTTAGATGAAAATTAAAACACCAAACGAACAATTAAAGAAGATAACACTGCAAATATGCATTTGGCTTCATTCTAAACATTGCAAACAGATCTTTGCAATTCGAAGTAACTTGCTGCGAAGAGCCAACCTGGAGAAACGAAAACATGGTTCAATCAGTGAACCAACGATTTATTGGTGAAATTAAAAAACTAAACAAAAAAAATACAGTGCCCAAACCTGTTCGCTGCCACTAAACTCCCTCTTCAGCATATTAAACTCATCTTCCTCCTAAAGCATAAGCTGTCAAACATTATATTCCCAGACTGGCAGGGAATATAATCAAGGAAGGCCAAAAACAAACCTCTGCGCTAGGTCCAGCAACAATGACCACATTCCAACCATGCTTACAGAAATATATTTGGTGTTTCGCATTTCCCAATAAATCGTGAAGGCAGAAGGATGTGAAAATCTTCCTACCGAAGTGGTGCCTTTTATAGTACTTCTAAGAATAGAATGACCCATCCATCCCAGACATTGTTCGACCGCCCTTATCAACCAATACAATCTCACAATTTGTGTGAGCAGTAGCTGCCAACCTTTATGGCCAATAGGAGGCCTGATTGTTTTTTTGTACTGTGTGCACCTCCATGTTTGGCCAATGGGAATTGCTTTCGATTATTCTCCTCAGGAAATAAAAAATGAAGAGCTGAAGTTGACAGTTCCAGGCGGGAAAAATGTGCCTCACACTTCTTTTCCTTTTATATAAGAAGAGATATGCTTGCAATTTAAACAAGGGAAATTTACTAGAATATGACTAAAACTCAATGAGTTTCTCGATCTATGACCTAACTAGTTTTTATACCTTTGTATGACCAAAAATCCAAAAATAAATAGGAAATTCGTTTATATTTAAATGTTGAATGACAAAAACACCCTTATTTAAAATATGTGCATTTTGCACTAATTTTGTCCAATTAAAATTACTGCACTTTATATTGTCGTTAATGCACAAATTTAATGCATGACTTTACTGCACATCCGGTAATAATCACTGCACTTCCCCTAAAATTAAATTTCTTCTCATTCACTTTAGGAAATTATTTATAGGTTTATTTTTAATTTTTTTTAGTTTTAATAATTTTAGTATTTTACGTCTAATTAAGCATATTGGGTTTGATGTCGAAATTACTGCACTCCCGATCATAATCACTGCACAACAAACTTCATTAATGCATTCATTCACTGTCATGTACAACATATGTATTATCATATTTACTGTCGTACCCAACAATATCTATAATGATATTCACTGCGCATATTCACTGCCTCAATTTAATGCCCACAAACCCTAATTTTAGAAACTCTTAATTTCAAAAGCAAAAAAAGCAAAAATGAGAATGAAAAGAAAAAATAGAAAAGAAATTGAAAAGTAAAGCAGTGCCGCACTCGGCACTTCACCAAATTGAAAACCCTATTTCGCTCATGTGTCACAAAGCACAAACCCATCTTCACTTAAAACTCCTCCAGCGCCGCACAAATTAGCCATCGTAACCAAAATTCATCACCTGCGCCACACTGTCCATTCTTCCTACTAGGTTTTGGAAATACTCCGGCGGTTGAGGTAGGCACATGGGACAGAGGCGGGAGGCGGCGCTCATGGATCGAGACGGCGGAGGGGCTGGTGGCGTCGGCCATAGCGATGGTTGCAGTGAACATATGGCTAGGGTGGCCGGGCAAGCAACCGACTGGATGGATATGTGGCCGGCGATCGTGCTCCTGGACGGTGACGGACATCAGGCCATGGGCGGCGGCAGACAGCGGACCATGGGGCGGCGCCGACAGTGACGTGCGGCTGCAAGGACCTATGGAGAAGAGAATGGAGGCTAGGGTTGGAGAAAAGAGCTGGGGTTTAGGCTTTTATAGATATAATCTAAAGGGTATAATTGTCCAACTAAATTATTTATTTATTTATTTATTCCGAATTTTGATTAATTATTATGAGTTTTAATATTATTTTGGTATAAAAACTAGTTAGGTCATAGATTGGAAAAGTTAGGTCATATAATTGTCCAACTAAATTATTTATTTATTTATTTATTCCGAATTTTGATTAATTATTATGAGTTTTAATATTATTTTAGTTATACCTAAGGTAATTATCTCTTTAAACAACTGAGGATTTGTTTAGATTACTGATTGATTCTTTTTTGTATTTCAATCAGTCTAAATAAACCAAGAGTCACAATAACGACTAGAATAATCTTCAAGCCCATTTTCAGATTCTCAAAGACCCGCCATGACGATGATCTTTCGTCATCTTCCTGCCATGTAAGCTCCGCCTCTTTTATGCGCTTTTTTGTTGCGCCGCCGCCCTTTGTATGGTTGTTTTGTGATGAATCTTTTCTTCCGCCGCCGCTTGACGATGGGGTTTGCTGGTCAAGTAGTTCTTGAACCGATACGGTTGTTGCGGGATCAATTTTGTCAATCGCATGTTTTGATAACTTGATGTAAAGGATACCTCGTTCATCGTCAAACTTTGTTTCGATGACACCCATTGTAATGATGTGTGGCAGGTGTATACAGTCCTCAAACCAGGTCCGGTTTCTTTGAGCCCATCCTATTATCGTTACATTATGATTTGACCATTCAAATTGAATCTCCTCTCCTTTATAACCTACAACCCACGTGATTAAGAAGAATTAGGATGCGCTTAATTGAATTGATTTTAGTTAGACCAAAACTAGTGTTTTACCCGGACGTTGCCCCGGGCGGAAGTTGTGAATGTTTGAATACTTTGTAAGATATACTCCCTCCGGTTCTAAATAAACTTCACACTTTCCTTTTTGGGACGGTCCAAAATAAACTTCACACTTCCTTATTTCCTTATTTGGCAAAGAAATATACATCAAAACAGTGTTAAACAGTGCTAAACAGTGCCAAACAGTGTCTCAACAGTGTCAAACAGTGTCTCAACAGTGTACTCTACAGTAAAGTCAACTTTATTTCCTTAATAACTGTGAAGTCAAACACTGAAGTTTAAAAAGAACCGGAGGGAGTATATTTTATAGAATATTTAAACAACTAATCATTTTACTTCAAATAAATTTTTGTCGATTGTGAATAGTAATTTAACTAAACAACATATATTAAAAAGTGAAATTGTAATGTAACACTGACGTACCAAAATCACATTGTTAAGTTAGGTTTAAATTGGGAAACCTCTTTATAAACGACATTCACCGTGTTGGTGAAAAAAATTGTTTCTTTTGAACATATGAATATCTTAAGATATCTTTACGCATTACGTACTCTTGGTATTGCAATGTACAATTGGTCATTAATGAAACTTCTCTTTCAAGGTATAAATCATATTTTATGTGTTAACATTTAACCTTGACCCTTCTTTTTGGCAAAATTTAGCCTTGACTTTTATTGATTGTCATTGAAAAACTTACCATCATAAGAAATTGTTTTATTCGAAAATTGAATAAAGTTGTCATATGGTGACAATGAGATTTTTAATATGTAAACTTTATCTTTCATAACTATTCAAATTATGACTTGTCATACTTCTTATTTCAATCTGGTTATGACCAATTACGTTCTATTGAATAAAACTTATGCATGATTAATATTCCTCAGTAACATTATCGGGGGCTCCGATTTTCAAATGAAGGACATGGTTGGGCAATCCAACCATTGAAGCTCTATTAGGATATTCGACATTGTACATATCAACATGAAAAGTAGTACCAGTGTGTGAAGGAATAATATTAATTGAACTAAGATATGTAACTCCTAGATCATCGATCAACAATAGCATGTAGTTAGTTACTCATGATGTTTCCTGGTGTAACGTCTAAAATCTTAGAACATGCCTCGTGTATCAGCACATCTTCATCCTGCCCTATAATCAAAGACGCGCGCGACATGCAAAAATTTTGTCTTCGCACTTCCTTGATGAATATGGTAGGTAGTGGGATAATATTTATGGGAATAGAAAATTAAATGATGAGTTGGAATTAGCTTTAATAGTAGAAGACGTAGATGAAATTTATTTAATATATATGACAAATAATAATTACTTGCACTGTGCATTTTCTACAGATTTTTAGACTTCAATGTGCTCTTGTGATTCCATTTATTGGAATAAAATGATACAAAATCAATATATATATATACTAAACATGTTGATTTTTGCACTAATTGCATGTCCTACTTTGGTTATAGTTTATTTATTAATGTATTAGACATTTTTGAAAAATATTGTTCAATCCGTCCCAATTTAAATTTCCAAAACACTCATTTTTACTTACAATGAATTACATATATTAATAATGAAAGTATTCTGTTGGCAAACATGAAAAAAGAAGTGTTGTAACTAAAAAAGAATGGAGAAAAATCGAAAATGTATAAAAGAGAAACTTTTCGGAAGCATACAGTTGGCCATGTCATTATTATATACTTCTAATTAAGCCAATTAATTTTTTAAGATGTAATAGAAAATACTAATCCTATAAATTTATGGAGAATATAAAAATATAGATAAATATGATTTATATTTATTTAGGACAATCACACAATGTGTATGTACTCACAATTTACTTACTCCCTCCGTTCAGAAAAAATTCGTCAAATTGTCTTTTCTTGGTCAATAACAATCAACTTTGACTAATGATATTTTTAATACAAAATTAATTAGAATATGAAAATTATATCAAAATGTCCCTTATTCGAAATATGTTATGCAGGGTGATTCCATTCAATGCACAGTCGGCATAAAAATTAAAAAGTGCTTTGTCCCTATACGTGTCCTTGTCTCTTCCACCTCCACCACTGCACTCTTTTACACCTAACATATAATTTGTTCTTATCCCTTTATCCCTTCAGAATATGTACTGTATAGAAATAGCAATACATAAAAATCTATTTATATATCTAATAAAAATATATTTTATTGACTTCATGTTGTTATGTGGCCTAATAAATTTTTTCATGTGGGCTAATAAAAATATTTTCATATGAATTGTTACTCATTTTAAATTTAATTTACATTATGTGGGCTAATAAAGTTTTTCAATGAAATTGTGGAAGATGAGGAGTAAAAAGAACGTATTATTCTTAGTCACCTATCACTTGTACCTCTAAAGCTCTAATTGATATTCTCATGTATTCTCAAATATGGAAGGTTTTTGTAAGACTCTAATTGATATTCTCATGTATTCTCAAATATGGATGGTATTTGTGTTGAGAGCATACGGAATGCAATATTTGACATCAAAAATTTGTTTTGTATTGAACTTCTTCCCTTTTTGATACTTCAAACACTTTAATGAGCTCATTAATTAATTTTGGAATGTAACTGCCGTATTAACATATAGAATAACATGATTTACATAACTTGCCTTAAGATTATATTACTTGCAAATGTGGTCTGAATTAATTGGACTCAATAGCAATATGTAAATTCATAATTGTACTCAATAGCAAATAGTTGAAAATTCAATTTCAATTTCAAGGTTCAACTTTATTAGTAAGGAAGTAGATATGAAATAGTAAAATAAATTAATTGAATTGAATTGATTTGGGACAATTCGGTTTACGATGCTTGACTGACGATAAAGCAAACGGATCCTTGTCTGCGCTCAAATTGTTTTTAGAAAAAAAAATTATATACTCAGAAATTACAAAGTCGCAAAAACCAGAATCAAATTTGATAAAAAAAATTGATATATAAAGTAAGAGATTAAAAGTGATTTGTGTTGATCAAGTGAATAGTGTCTGGGACAATCTTAGCGGGATGAAGGGAGTACTACGTAGTATCAAGTTTATTTAACAGTAATTCTCATATTTGAGAAATAAAAATGAAGTACTCATATTTTCGAATTGCAAAATGTTTTTAATCATATTTTGAGAATTCTCCCTTTACTTAATAGTTAATATTAATTCAAAATTATTATTATTACTCCGTATTATTATTAGGTAACTAGACTAGATGTCAAGCTATTACTATCCCAGTGTTGGCTCACAGAACATTGGGCAATCAAAACTATTCGGACCGGAAAAACCAGAATAATCTGATCTGGTCCAATCCTGGACCAGAATTATATAGGTCCGGTCTTCGGTTCATTATTATAGGTCCAAGACCGGTGCTCAGCCCTACATAAGTACCCAACTACAACAAATATACATAATCTGATCTGGTCCAGTCCTGGACCATAATCGTTTCATTTTTTCTAAAGAGTGCTTTATTTAAGAAAAAATACTCTCACTTTCCAGTTTTAGAAAAGGAGAGTCATTCCATTAATATAACATCAGAAATGCTATTGGTGCCCCAAAATGGGGTACCCCATTCTAACCCCGGCCTATTGTGCGGCCATAAACGAGGCAACACATTTAAGTACTATTTAAATGTGTTGTCTCATTTATGGCCGCACAATAAGCCGGGATAAGAATGGGGTACCCCATTTTGGGGCACCAATAACATTTCTCATATAACATACCCAAGTAATACACGGCGATAGACTAGTACAGTAGTACTTTTTAGTTTTAATTTACAATTTACGTGGCACTACCTATGACTCTTTTTTTTCGATCAAAAGAGAGTGATATTGTTTTTAAGAAAAATAGAGTTATGTGATTGATATGAGTTGATAAAGTATTAATAATAAAGTAAGAATGAATTAGAACCACACATATATTATCAAATGTGGTATGAGACAATTTTAGTGGGACGGACAGAAAATGAAAAATGTGACAATTATAGTGAGACAGATGGACTGTTTTTTATCATATACCTGACCTGGGGCCTTATTGCACTAGGTGAACAATGTATGATAAACTATAAACAATATACTACGCAACAGATCTAGGTCTGTAAAATTGGAGAGGAGTTCGGAGATAAGGCTTCAGTCGTTTCTTTTTGGTCTTTTCCCTAATTTTTGTCTAGGGTTTGTTTTGCCTCCGTTTCTTTGCCCGGCGAATTATTTGGAGCGACCGTGGCAGGGCAGACGTTATCACGTTCTGCCTTTCCATGGTCTGCTTCTATATGGTTTATGCTTCTGGACGTGCTGATATGGACCGAATCTGAAGGTCTGTGATTGATACCTTCGATTGGAAAATCGCTTGGCCAGTTCCGCTCAACTTGACTGTCGGAGTGAGGGTGATTGGGAATGTGTTACGCGCAGAAGAAGAATGGATGGGGCGTCTCTATTGGGTCCTGTTTGGATAGATTTCACCTCATGGCGGAGACAATTAGGGGTGCTCGAGTGAGGGGATTTCTGGATCGAGTCCTGAGCAAGGGAGAAGACAGATTGGCGGTACAACCCCCCTCCTGAACTGCCACCCTGGAGCGATCGAGGTGCTAGGTCTTTCTTTCGCTTTATGTTTGTTTATGTTACTCTGTTTTTGTTTATATCTTGAGTTTTAGGTCTACTATAATGATTGACAATTCTGTTAAATATAATGTCGTTTGAAGGATCTATTTGACTAATGATTGTGTGTTATACCCATTTGTTGGTTAGCGATTCGTATTACCCTTTCAGGGATGATCGTTTTTAAGTCTAGCCGTATGATTGATAGTGTTAATTGGTTACGGAAAGTTGTTGTCAGTGTTGGTCTCTTTGAATTTGTTGTAACGATCTGGATCGTAATTATATTATAAGTAGTTTTTCCTTTCAAAAAAAACTATAAACAATATACTTAGTGAAATTAATACTGAATGAACAAATTATGCACATAGTGTTTATTGCCCTCGTACACACATGTATGATATAAATACATAAATGCGTATATGCACACGTACATTGTATGTTAAATGATACGATCAATTCATTTAAGAAAAAACGTGAATCAGTTAAAGATGAACAAATACCAATTAAATTACTGAGCGTGATAGAAAAATCGCCTGGATTGTATCTCAAAGAGCGACCGACAATGATACGTTCATATTGCACACCACAGATTATCACCATTACAACAGTTAAATGAACAATGTCTGGTCTTTCCTATATGATCATCAACCACATTTTGAATATCCGTTATTTATAGGATGCAGAAGCGGATTATTGGCTTATCTTATGAGTCAATCAAAAGCCATGTAGTGTTTTTGTTTCAATATAATCCAAAACCTCTTCTTGGAAGGCATTGCATTCTTCTTTGAAAAGAAAAGAGTTTATTATTATTCACCTTTCTTGAACGAATCAAAGGGAATCTTTTTTTGTTGGTTTTCATTTCGGTCAAAAAGAAATTATAGGTAAGGTAAGTTATAGTAAAACTTGTATTAAATTCACAAACTAATACGTTGTATTCAGGGGCGCACCCAGAGCACTGGGCCGGTACAAAGAATATTTTTAGGAAAAATTTTACATGAAATTTTTCACCTTAAAAATTAAGTCATTTTTAAAATTTGGGGTGAGCCATGGCCTAGGTTGGCCCACCCCTAGCTCCGCCCATGGTTGATCTTTTTTTCTCTCAAATATAGAGACCTTGAAGAATGGAGATACTCTAATCAAACGTATGCTTTAACTTTTAATTCTGACAAATAGTCCTATTATCAGTATTGTACAAGACATTTTCAGACATCATTCTAGCACATTTACAATTAGGATGCAGTAAGAAATATCGCAAATTATTTATATGGGGTATTCAGGAAAAATTAGAAAATGCTTCAATTCTTTCTCAAAATGTTTTCCGTACTCAAGCCTCATTGTGCTTTCAAGAAAGATAGTCTTCTTCCACATTTTGAATTGTTGTAAAAAAACGGTAACGCCCTTTCTATTTCCCATCTAACCAAAAGTTGCAATTTACTTTTAGCTTGACTAGTGGGAAAGATAATCACTTCAATTATAATTTAAATAATTGCTAATAATTTAAATTTATGTATTTAAATGTACATTAGAGGTTCTATTGATATTCAAAAAAAGATAGTAAAACATACTTGTGTTCACCAATTAATAATATAATTGAAACACATTGAAGAACAAAAAGAGTAAACACACACACTCACAAATACTCCGATTAAGATGAGAAAGTTGTTCCAATACAAATTGAGAATGTTGCGAAATGTTGCACAATTCTAATTTATGGTAATGCATATTTGTGTTTAAGATAGGCACGGTTTACAGAAAAGAAAAAATACTTCAAGTTACTAAGAAAATGTCAATGTACAATTTCTAGTTCATGACGCGGTGTACATTCTATTATAGACTAGGGGTGGACCGGTTCCGGTTCGGGCCCGGTTCGGGCCTGGGCCCGGCCGGGCCTCGGTTCAGAAAAAGGAGGCCCGAGCCCGAACTGGTGGTGGGCGGTTCCGGTTCCGGTTCCGGGCCAGAACCGGGCCGGGCCGGGCCGGGCCACCCGGAATGTTTTTTTTTTTTTCTTCTTCTTCTCTTATTTAACCCCCTACCCCTCCCCCTCCACCCCAAACCACCTCAAATGGCCCAAAATACCTAATCCAACCCAAAACTTAAAAAAAATTCAAAAAAAAAAAAAAAATTAAATTCCGGCCCGAACCGGGCCCGGCCCGGCCGGGCCGGTTCACTAAACTGGAGGCCCGGGCCCGGACCGGTATACCACCGGGCCGGGAGGCCCGAACCAGAACCGAACCGGTTCACCGGGCCGGTCCGGGCCCGCACAGTAGCGGGCCGGTCCGGTTCCGGGCCGGTTGGCCCGGCCCGAGTCCACCCCTATTATAGACAATGCACAACTCTCAAATTCAAGCACAAGATTCATTCTTACTCTTTTCAACATCAATAGATCACATTCTCATTTGACAAATCTAAAAGTACTATCGACCTTTATGGAACATTGGCACTCATTTGACAAATCTAAAAGTACTATCGACCTCTATTTTCCATGCCTCATAACCGGCTCTCAAAATAGATCTCAAAATTGACATGAAAACTTGACTTCTAATCCCTACTACACATACAGTTTTATCAAATTTGCCATGAAAACCCCACTGCACAGCAATGCAATCTCCAATGGGTTGGAGATGGATAGTAGCATACTGAAGATGATCACCTCAGCATTCCCTCTCTAGCAAGTAAAAAAACAGCCTCTTGTCTTGGCAGTCAGACCTCGAGAAGCACAACCGGTGTTTTACGCTTCAGGGGCAAATTCGGAAGTGGAGATAGTTTTCACAAGCTCTTGTTCATCTGATTTCTTTCGTTCTTTATCAAGCTTCATTAATATAATAATATTTATCATTACAATGACAATAAAAGACATGTTCGCTTAGACCAGATCACAACAGATCACAACAGATCACAAAACCAGTCTCAAACACATCAGGCCAAAGAAGGATATACCATCATTAAGTAATACTTCGTAATAAAATACACATAACATCAAACTAGAACACAAAAGACCGGACCATTCTTAAACACACTAGACCGGGCTATGCTTAAACATAACAGACTACCTAATCAAGTCCAGGCCAGACCAGGATATTCCAGTCCAAATGAACATGTCTTTATCTCAATCAGCACCTTGGGCTACAATGTATAAAATTATTGGATACCTGAGCCTCCAGCTTTGAGATTCTCAGCAAAGACAATTGCTCAATGCATACACGCCGTTTTTGCTCTTCTTCAAGCAACCCCATCATGTGGTATCTTAGTTCTGCCATTTCCTGAGCTAAATCCTCTGCTTCTTCTTTTGCCTTTAACCTTTCAAGCTTCAGTTCTTCCTAACCCAACATTTTATATAAACTCTATAAAAGTTAAATATGACTTTTCTTATAAATTAAACCATAATCAAGTCTTGATGCAGACATGCAGTAGATGATTTCACTTCTTAATCATACCTTAAGTTTTGCCAAAAGAGATTCGTATCTTTGTATTTGATGAGACACTGTGTTTGTCTCATCCTTACGGTTGACTGTGGATGCCCCTAGAACAGCGAGTTTGGTAAGGAGAGGACCCAAAATGTCTCCACATGAGCTTTGGGTAGAGAGAAAGAGAGAAAAAGACTTGAGTTATACAGATTGTGTCTAACTTTCACAGTTTTGACTGATAAAGAAGCTTCCTCACGTAAATACACCATGTATCTAACAAGACCTCACACCAAATCTCCATTTCTTTTCATAAAATTATTCACTGGTCAATGTAAAGAATACATGCATACAAACATATACTTCGTATATTTCAATTACTAAATTGCACTATTCAATAACATGAAGTCACTGGTGCTGAGATTCAGTTAAGGTTTTCATATTCCAAGTCACCATCTGTATACTGAACACATGTAAGCAAAAAAGAGTATATATTACCTGGCATTATTCTCTGGCACTTCTTCATGCCCAGTAATTATCCATTCTGGAAATTGCTCTTCCACATTTTGGCAAAACACTTTGACGTTCTTTTCACATGTTTGAAGTTGTTCCTTTAGAATTGCATTCTCCTTCTCTAAATAATCAATATAGTCCTCTGTATTCTGGAAGTGAAGCTGAAAATCATGAAACGATGCATTTCTTTGAGCTGTCTGCTCTTGCGACTTTTTATGTTCAAGGCAATTTTGATCCAATGCTGTTAGATCAAGCTTCAGGCTCTCAATTTCACATTGATAATCCAATCCCACGCATGAAATAGACTCCTCTAGTTTCTCTATTAACAAAGATGAACTCTGAAGCTCCAACTCCTTGCTTTCCAAATTTTCCAACAACATAAACCCCTCAGCCTTTGAAATCTCTAGTTCCTCTTTTAACCTCCCAGTTTCTTCCTCCAAAACTTCCTTGTCTGAGTTGCTTAGTGTGAGCTGATCCTGCAGGTAATCTATTGCAAGTATCTTGTTACAGAAGATCATCCCAAGCTAAAGTAGTGTAAGAATAACATAGTTTTTCTCTTCTTAGTTGATACGGACCTGAAGTTATGGCGAGAGAAGTAATAGAAATAATAATGAATATGTTAATAAGGTGTAAATAAAGGAGTGGGCTGGGGCATGTAATTAGTAAGATTGAGGGCAAGCCTCATTGGAAAAGAATAAATAGAAGGAATAGAATTTGGAGAGGGCAGTCGGGATTGGAGTAAGAATTGGAATCTGGGAGAGATCGAGGCCCTCTTGAATTGGTCTCGGCTGTATTCTTATGGTTTTCTACAGTATCAATAATATTTCTATTCCAAATCACTGTGTACGTATAATTAGTTGCACCACTTCAATTTTTGTATTACTCTCATATTTTTTGATCATATTTTTTACTAATATATAAAAACAAATCATATTATATAAAATGGTGTCAGATTTCAATAAAAGCATATTTTCAAAATACCAACTTGTTATTATTTAGCAATATGGATAAAATATACTACGTATATTATGGTCAAGATAATGTTTTGGCAAAAGTGATGTTACAACAAAACAAGAATGCATGCACATGTATGTATGTGTGCATCCATGCATGTATGAACATGTGACACACTCGCACCGTCGCACGCACAGATTCTTATAAATATAATAAATATATAACAAGAATGAAACCATTTAAAAGTGAAATGCATCAATATCCTCTAAGGGTTGGATTTCCGAATTTGAATCAATAAGACAGTTCTTGCATATAGATTACTATTTCAGTATTTCTTAATATTTTGCGTCCTGGTTGTAGTTCAAGGGTTCAGATTTTTATTCCTGCTAAAAATAATTGCAAGAAACATTAAAGAACTAGTATTTCAAATTATACATAGAATTTGGACCAAATGAGAACACGATCTATGAAGAGAAATGAGAATGAATCTAGAGTTTTAGATTTGGGAATTGTGAATTATGTGAAACAAAAATGTACACTACCATTACAAAATGTGGTGGCATTTTTGAAAATAGATTCAACTTATTCTGCCCATTTCAAATGTGCATTATCCATAAATGTGCACTGCTATGAACCATAATTTGAATCGTTCAGATCATTCTCATTTCTCACGGGAAGAAATGTTATCACCGAAAACGAGGCCCTATATAATTGTATACACAAACATATACTTTCATTATCGAATACCATAACAAAATGGTAATCAAGGTTCTTCTAAAAAATCAACAAATATGTTTAGAGTCTAGTTTATCCATAGTATCTTTAAATTTTATAGCAAATTTAAGGCATTCAATATTTAGGGTTTAGGGGTCTTTTTACTTGTTAAATGGTTTTAGCTTGGTGTTGGTCTTTTCTAACAGTTAACCAATAAAGTAGAAGAACCAAACTGTAAGGACATTAACGCTCCGTGTATTGAATCTTAAGAGAAACTATAGAAACTGAACCGTTATGAAATTAACAGTTCTTCAAATGTTCCTAAAAATATATCAAGGAACCGAACCAGTCCAAGCCCTAATATTCTTCTTCCGAAAGAATCTAAGATTGCAATGCATCATAGCTTTTCAACACACAAAGCAAGTATTTCATGGTCTGCCACAATCTTGGTTTAGGAATCAATACCTATTTCTTGTGAGCAGTTATTTAGCTCCCTTTCCAACTCCTGGATCCGTTTCTTGTCCTCCACGTGGGCACAAGATAATGTTTGTACCTGCTCTTCTAATTTCTACAAAGAGGGAATTTTTACATGAAAACTTTTGAACAAAAAATATAATATCCTTGGGTTAATGGTCATTTTAACAGTGTAAGCCCATTACTCTGATGATTTCAAAGCTCTGCATTTGTGAGTCTCTCAACAAATCCTTTTCTTTCCTTAACTACAAAAAAAAAAAAACTAGAAGCTCATTAGTAGACCCGGTAGAACAATGGGTATCCAAGCTAAATGAGATTGTAAATCATTGTAATAGAAACCTGAAGATCCAAAAATATTTCTATTTAGCAAAAGCTGTAAACTGAATGGACTAATGCTAGATTGTATAGTGTACCTCTCTACATCTTGTCCTTATCTCTAATAACTCCTTTATGTCAAAACACCAGTCACTATTGCTGGATTGCTCAGACATCTATGCACAAACAAAAAATGAAAAACTGTACACATTATTTGAGTAATACATACATACAAGAGGATATTGCAGTATTGCACACATTCACTGATCACTGCAATTGGATGTTCACCTAAAACTCAATTCATCCTTGTTACACCGCACACTCACAAGAAGAAGAAGAAGAAGAAGGTAAAAAGAAAGAGTGGAAATGTTAAAGCCAACTACATTTGAAATTAAACCCATTAAAGGGATGTGATCTTTAAAGGAAACAGAACTTCAAGAATAGATAGCTGAAATCCTTGCATAAAAGTGAAGTAAACAGCATACCGCTTCCTAGGGTTTCAATTTCAACTTTTCAAATTTCTCCCTCCGCCCTCGTTCTTTCTGCCTTAGGTGAAAGAGAGAATAGAAGAAGGCAAACTGTGTTCAGGAAATAATCATAAACAGATCCGTCATATGAGACCGACGAGGAAGGAAACTACCTAATTGTGAGGACATCTTTATCGCAAATTATACCGTGGGATCATCCCACGGTGAGCATGGTGCTCCGGATTCCAAACGGTGCCGTTTGATTATTAAAAATGACCGACTTTCTTCAGATTTGCAGATTCGTGCCCTATCAGATTCGGATTTAGCTAAACCACACAATTAGATCGCTTCTCCTCTTCCCTTCATTGCTGGAATCGCTACCAGAAAGGAGTTCAACTCACTACACCAAACTGAGTCACCTCCCATGGCAAAGTTGATTCTTGAAGATGGGAGCTACAACAGTTTCCCTTCCCCATCAAAGCCTCCAATCTCCTTCAGGACCCCACGGTTCTCATCTGCAACTCCGACGACGTTTCCGCCATCAGCACCGACGAGGAGCTCCAGCCCGGTCACCTCTATTTTGCTCTCTTGCTGGCCCGTTTCAAGTGCTCCGTAGTGCTCTGTTTTTTTTTTTAAGAATGCTCTCTGATTCTCTTTTTTTGGGCAGCCCTGCTAGTTTCTTGAAAAGTAGATTTGGGTTAAAAAGTTACATTTTTGTTAAAAATATTTACATTTCTAATGGTATGAAGTTACATATTCATTTGTGTGAGTTACATATACATATTTTTATGTTTAAGTTACATTATTTTATAAGCGAGTTACATCTTCTAAAGCGCAAGTTACATTTGCCATCAACGCGAGTTACACTTGTAATAACATGAGTTACATAAATAAATCATGTATTGAGTTACATGAAACAAAAAATTTGATTTTTTAAAATCCTTGTGATGGTCATGATATTAAAAACAAAACATATTCACAATTTATGTAAAGTAATTGTGTAGTTACTCTTTTTTTTCATTGTTTACATTGAAATCAATGTTTCATCTCTTAGGCATCGTATTGGATAAGTTACATTTCAACTGACCTACAGTTACATTTTTTATCAACGTGAGTTACACTTCTTTACACGCGAGTTACATCACGATATTACTGGGACAAAAAATAAAAAATTAAAACCTACTGTTCACGCGTGTTACTGTTCACGCGTGTTACATTTTAGTAGTGTTGTTAAATTAGTCTACATAGTTACGAGATTAGCGAATTTATTTAAGTCTTGGAGTCCATCCAATTATTTCTTTCATCCCAATGTATCCTCGAACTATTGTATTGTTTTATCTCGGGTCTTATCATTAATAAATAAGCTTCTTTGTTTTCCTAAACAAAGCAGGAAAGAAGTCAATCCTAAGTCCAAATATTTCAATACGGATCCAGCTTCATATAACCTGAGGTTGAGAGATTCATATCTACTTTTAATACTCCCTCCGGTTCTTTTTAAACTTCACACTTTCCTTTTTGGGATGGTCCAAAATAAACTTCACACTTCCTTATTTCCTTATTTGGCAAAGAAATCTACATCAAAACAGTGTTAAACAGTGTTAAACAGTGCTAAACAGTGTCAAACAGTGTCTCAACAGTGCCAAACAGTGTCTCAACAGTGTACTCTACAATAAAGTCAAATTTATTTCCTTAATCAATGTGAAGTCAAACTGTGAAGTTTAAAAAGATCCGGAGGGAGTAGAAAATTAGAAATGATGCATTATAGTACCTCATCTGTTTTTTTAAATAGTACCTCATCTACAAGAAACAATTTAAGGATATGTTTACTTCGACTATTTCGATCACATATCAGATCAGATCAGATCAGACTACATCACATCAAACTTAAAATAAGTAGATTGGGCTAGGACGCACTTTAAATGGCCTAACAAGTTCAAATCAGACTAAGAGTTTTGTGAAATTGATTCTGTTTCTGCTTCTTTTTTAAAAGTAGAAGCAAAATCGAAATAAGTTATTCAGAATTTGGTCTCTCTCAGCTTCTGAAAATCTACTTCTATGAGCAATTTGGACCACCTAGAAGTACTTCCACACTTTCACTCAAACTTATAATATCTGTTTTTGTTTTCTAAAAGAGTAGAAGCAGTTTAAAGAAGCAAATTCAAACACCCCTGAATCTGAGTAGATATCATATATACAAGACAATGTCAGAAGGCTAAATTTCTACAATGCCCTTGAAAAGAAGGAAGATACTCTTGGAAGGTGAGGTAAGAAGAGATCGAGCCCATACATAAGAGGAAAGGATCCCAGCCACCAAAAAAATCTCTCTTTCTATTTTCAATAAAATTGAAAATAACCAAAAATGGATATCATATCTGATCTTTCCCACTTCTTTACTTTACTCACTGTCCATCATCATTTCCCTTTACTGCCAAGGTAAAGCCATTACATGATACAGTATAAGAAAATATTAAAATGCATCTCTTCAAGTCTATATCAATCTGCACCTTTATAGTGTAACTGAATTACAGAAATAAAAATTAAAGAAATCAAGATAATCAAAGTTTTAGCAATTTGGACAATAGATCTCGTTATGATACCATTTTCTCTGCAAACTTCATATAAACTCTACATTATTATGATATTGTTTGTTCTCAACCAAGTTGGAACAAATTTGCTTTGAGACATATTCAAGTGCTTCATACTAATTGAATTACTGACACTCATGAACACAGGACACTTATACCTAAATCAAAGCAGATCAAACCACATAAAAAAAAGCATTTAAGAGAACGTGTCATAAATTTGATAAGCGAACAGAGCTATAAATTGGGAAAGAAAGCAAGAAATCTTCTTCTTCTTCATCTTCTTCAACTGGAGCAGGAAAGTTGAGATCAAAAAAATCTCTGGTCTCTGGCTGCTGCATTTGAGCTGGTTCTACATCACCTTTCCCCTGCAGCTCAGCTGATATGAAGTGAGATCTCTTGTGACCTCCCAATGCTTGACCCGATGAGAAAATCTTAAAACAAATCGGGCATTCGTGAGAATCCACTTTCATCTTCTTTGGAGGTGGGGAAAAAGTGCCATTTTTATTCTCAGTCTTCTTATTATGGCTTGCTCTGTGGCCTCCCAGAGCTTGGTATGTCTGGAATGTCTTGTTGCACGTACAACACTCAAAGCCTCTGGATTTCGGCTTCTTCGACTTCTCAGCTCGAATCATATCCAGAAACTCAAAATTATCAGTACCCAAACTACTGCCCACATCATTAGACAGCATAATCAAACTCATAGCAACTTCTTCTTGTTCATAGTCACTATTAGCAGAAGTTAAGGTAGAGGAATTGGTAGTAGTATCAGCAGCATTCAGATTAACCTGGAACCTTTTGGCTGCTGCTCTTCTCGATCGCTTCTTCCTGTTTGGCCGCCCAACAGCATTGACTGCTTTCTGGGAGTGGGATTTCATGTGCCCAAACAGAGCCTTAAAAGACAGAAAAACTTTCCCACATTCATCACAGACCTTGTTCTGACGCAAAGCATCTTCCTTTTCTTCTTCTGCTTCTTTGTCATCATCTCCAGAGAACTTGAGAGTCTTCCTCGGGTTCTCTCTCAGCGCGTAGGCTTCGGTCCCCGGACCGGAGTTTCTACTCTTCTCGCTGGTTTCCGGTTGGTCGGAGATCAGGTGAGACCTCATGTGACCACCCAAGGATCTGCCGCAGGGGAATACTTTTCTGCAGAGTTTGCAGAAGTGCTTCAGGGGAAGAGTTTCTTGATTTTCTTGATTTTCTTGATCCATAGTTGGGCTTAAATTCTAGTACCCAAAAGCTCAAATCTGATCTGGGAAAATTTCAATTCAATAACAGATTGAAGAAGAAAGAGGAAGATCTAAGTCATATAACAGTAATGCTGGACATTAGTACCTATGTAGTAGTAACATGAGTGTAGTTGAAACTTGAAGAAAGGACTCTCTTTCTCTCTCTTTATCTCTCTCTATAAAGCTAAAAGATGCATCACTTTCTCTCTCTATAACACACACTGAATTGGGTAGAAATCCATGCATGGAAGCAAAGCTGAGAAGGAAAGAAAGAAAGAGGGGTGTAAAGGAAGGTAGGGGAGAGTACGTGTTCTCGATCAAGGCAGAATCTGATCATACGCGTATCAGATCGGACGGCTGAGATTTGCCCGCCATTTTTAGGACGGGGGTTAGCCCTTAGCTCAGCGCAAAGACTTTGCTTTTTAACTGCTCTTTGTGATTAATTAATTGATTAATTGATAACACTATTCTTTACTTTGTCTTGTTACTAATGAGGGAGGGAGGTTACAATTGCTGGCCGTTATATTCTTTCCATTTTTATTGATTAATACTTAAGTTTTTACATTCTTGTTCTGATCCAACTTTTAATTAATACTCGAACTTATTATCTTTTTTATACAGTTACGCAGATGTTAATTAACTTTATTCAATACGGATCGGAGTAATAAGTAATACTAGTAGTTCATTTAAGTTTGACGTCAAATTTGCTTTTTGTATCCAATACCTATACTCATTGCATATACAAAAGTATTATGTTAATGTTTTTAAGAATAAATTCCACTTTTGGTGATACAAGTATCACATCAATTCCACAATTGGTTCACATTTTTTACTTTAACCATTTTTTGTACATGATTATTGTTTTTCGCCCACATATAGTCCTATTTCGGTGGTTAAAATCGTCAGAGATGCATCGAAAATGGTCAAGAAAACAATAGTCAAGTATTAAAAGTGGACAAAGTAAAATATATGAATTAAACATGAAATTGACATAAATCTCGTAGGACCAAAAGTGAGATTAGTTTTTGTTTTTAATTGAGTGTAACTTTGAGAGAGCAAGTTTGATCTCATATCGGATCAGACTTTAAAATACGTGTAATACCTTATCACGTCATGAATACACAATAGTAAAGCACATATCATATCAAACCGGACTTTAAAGAGTTAATTAAGTTCACGAGACCGGACTTTAAAGACTAGACTAGACTAGTTAAAGAAAATTTCAATGCAAGCTAGCTACAATCATATCATAAATTCATAATATAATAAAAGATGTTATGTGTTTCACTCTATTTGAATATTGATCGAGATAGACATATAGTTGTTGGGCCAAGGGAAATTCATCCAGTAGCAAGGCCCATGGTAGGTTAGTCAAACTTATGGTCTAGCCCGTAGGACATAATAGAATTGGTGGATGTTCGGCCCATCTTGCAAGAGTTTGTAAAGAGACCCAGCGAAGGAAGGAGACTCCAGCCCGGTAAAATCAAGCACTAATGGACCGTTGCTGAAAAGAGGAGATAAACACGATGATTCAAAGCTTGGAGCAGAAGACTAGCTAAGCACGTTCACCAACTCCTGCTATTTCGGTGGGCAGTTGGTTAGTAGATCAGATAGGAAAAGTCCTTATTTAAATGGGGGTACATGGGAAACGAAATGATGAACTTGGGATCACCAACTCTACCCATATTTTTCCTTCACTTGAATATTACCAGAGCTATCTATTCTTCATTGTAAAACAGTTTTAGTTTCAAAGTTCTAGCATATTTCCTGTGTAATTTCTTGTGCGAAGCCTGATTCTTCGTTTCTTAATTGTTTGGAGAAATTGTTAGTTTCTTGCCTAAACAATTTGGCGCCCACCGTGGGGCATCGTGCAAGAAAGAATTCAAGTATGGAAGGAACGAATCAATTGCTAATTGAATTCCATGAACAATTGGAGACGGTCCGAGAAGAGCTCCGACGCGAGATGGCGGAAAGGATGGCCCTTCTTCAGCGCGAGAACGACGTGCTTCGTTCCCAGGTACAATCCGCAGTCTCGATAGCTTCAAACTCGAGGCTCAACCGAAGGGGAGATACATCAACCGCTGCAACAAGGCTAGACCTCGGTTTCTCCCCGGCGGCGACGAATCCGCCAGCAACGTCGACGGATCCAGTTTCCCTGACGCTGGGTCTGTCAACAACTCCGACCGGGGAACCATTCTCGACGGTCATCTCGCAGGTCATCCCCTACACGCCCCTCACACCAGCAACTACTCCACCAGCCAACATACCGGTTTGTTTCTTCCCGGAGTCCCTTCGGGTCGGAGCAAACGGATCAGGCCTGCATTCAGCAACCCAGAGTATGCATGTGACGACTCTGTCTTCCCTCCCAGCGGAGCCATCAATTCCCCATTACAGGAGCAGAACTTGTGGAGATGCTGGGCCATCTGGTGTCAATACGTCGGCCCGTAGGACTTATATCCCGTCGGATCCGTCGATCCCCCACTACCGAAGCAGAACTCAAGGAGATGTTGGCCCGTCGAACTTTATGCAGGATGCCGGGAGAAGCGGGCCTAGTGTGTCGTTCTTGGAACCTCAACTACGGCGTTTCTCTGAACCCGTCGTATCGTCAGCGCAGACGACGTGTGAGACAATCTGTCGTGAGCACGCCCAGATGCCAGCACCAACACTTCCATATTCAGTTCCCATCCATCCGGACGTCGCAGATGAAATGTCTATTTTGAGAGAGCAGATGCGTCAGATGCAGGATAAAATCAACGGGTTACCAGGTGTCCCCTCACCTTTGGACAGAGCTTCTAGAACATGTTATGCGGAGTCTCCCTTCAGCAGACGCATCACCAACATCGAGATACCTAGGAAGTTCGCTGCTCCCGCCATGAAGATGTTTGATGGGACGTCAGATCCGGTGGAACACGTCGCTCAATTTAAACAGCGCATGTTGGCCGTAGCACTTAGCCCGGATCAAAGAGAGGCCTGCATGTGTCGGGGGTTCGGGACGACGCTGTCAGGACCAGCCTTGACCTGGTTCGTCAACCTGGCAAACGAAGGGATCGACTCGTTCGCGGAGTTGGTCGACTCATTCACACAACAATTCGCAAGCAGCCGCACCCTGGAAAAGCAAACGAGCGACCTGTACCGGATTATCCAACAACGCGACGAATCCTTGAGAGATTACCTTCACCGCTTCAATAGGGAAAAGGTATCAATCTCAAGGTGTGACATACCTACGGCGATCGAGGCATTCCGAAGGGGATTGAAGAATGATTCGGAGTTATACAGGGAGTTGACAAAGTTTCCTTGTCGCACATTCGAAGACGTCCAGGCTATAACCTTAGCCTTTATCAGGTTAGAGGAGGATTTGCGGGCACAACTACATGCTGACAGTTATGAAGGGGGGCACCGCAAGTCCAGTACGTCCAGGAGGCATGACTACCGAACTGGCAAACCTTACACCAAAGCTGAAGAGCGACCCGTTGCGGCAACGACGCATTGGCTCGACGATCCTGATCTACCTCCAGTTATTCCTGACTTCTGCTTCAATGTCAGTACAGCGGGGCTCATCAACTCGTTAGAAAGGCTAGGAGAGAAAGTCAGGTGGCCCAAGAGAACCGACAAGCCAGCTGGCAAGCGAGACCCGAGCAAACATTGCGACTTCCACAACGACATCGGGCACAACACCGAGGACTGCGTCGCATTGCAAAAGGAGGTCGCTTATCTTTTGAAGAACGGGTATCTGACAGAAATTATGTCAGAACGGACTAAAGCTCTTTTAGGACGAACCGACAAGTCGTCAACTAAAGCGACACGACCTCCATCACCTTCGGCTCCCTGTCAGGTAATTAATTTCATTAATGGCGGGTCGGATTTATGTGGCCTAACGTATTCCGCTGCCAAGAGACACGCTCGGGAATATTCCCGAGACAAGTCATTGCAGGTATGTCAAGTAGAAAGACGACGTGACGACTGGAGAAGCACGGCCATTGCTTTTGACGAGTCAGATATGCCAGACCCTATGCAACCCCACCATGACACTCTAGTCATCTCTTAGGGTGGCAAACTTTGAAGTGAAGAGGGTCCTTGTTGACAACGGAAGCACGGCCAACATAACTACCATGCGGATGCTGGAACAGATGGGAGTCAAAGAGGATGACATGGCAAAATCAGGATCTACCCTCGTCAGTTTCAACGGAGAGCCAAGTCGGACCATAGGTAATATCTCTCTCCCTGTTTACGCTAACGGTCTTAATGTGCAGGTCAGGTTCGATGTAGTCAAGGACCTCCCAGCTTACAACATGATTTTGGGGACGCCATGGTTGCATCAAATGGGAGCCATTCCGTCGACGTATCACCAGGTCGTCAAGTTCCCAACGCCCTGGGGAGTAGAGTCCATTCGGGGAGACCAGGTGGTAGCCAAGTCTTGCTATCAGTCGGCCACGAAGCCTACAGCAAACCCTCCAACTTCAGCATAGCAACTAAAGGGTGACCCAGCTTTGGAGGAAGATGACGAAAAAACGGAAGAAGTAGTCATCGACAACGAGCATCCAGAACGGGTCATCCGCATCGGGACAAATTTGCCAGCAAGCCTCAGAGCTGAATTGGTCCAGTTTCTTAGACAACATAAAGATGTATTCGCTTGGAGTCACAAAGACATGACGGGAATTGACCCCAAGATCATCACACACAAGTTAAATGTCAATCCGTCATATAAACCAGTCAGACAACGAAGAAGACATTTTGCAAGGGAGCGGAACGACATCATAAACCAAGAGGTCGAGGCTCTTCTCCAAACCGGGAAAGCTAGAGAAGTCAGGTATCCAGATTGGCTAGCTAACGTCGTCGTCGTCAAAAAGAAAGCAGCAAAAGGAAAAAAGGCGAAATGGCGAGTGTGCGTGGACTTCACCGATTTGAACAAAGCAAGTCCAAAGGATTCATTCCCCATGCCACACATTGACGTATTGGCCGATGCAACTGCCGGACATGAGATGCTCTCGTTCATGGACGCCTTTAGCGGATACCACCAGATTCAGCTACATTCTGATGATCAAGAAAAGACGGCCTTCATTACTGAAACAGGTACGTATTGCTATATTGTTATGCCATTTGGTCTGAAAAATGCAGGTGCAACGTTTCAAAGGCTCGTCACCATGATGTTCAAAGAACAAATTGGGAAAACCATGGAGGTATACATAGACGATATGATCGTCAAGTCAAGGAAAGCTGGGGACCACGTTGGCAACCTGGCGGAATCATTTAAAAAGTTGAC